GCCGATGGGAACCCGGTATTCCAAGTAATGACAGATCATTTGGGGAGCAGGGTAGTCTCAGTTCATTCGAATAGAGGTTAAGAGACAACAATATGTTCGAAATAAGGGAGTAATGAGAGGATTTGCTCACCAAATGAAGGTACCAAGTCACTTACAGACGGATTAAATAATCTCAAAGTAATGGGTTTGACCCTGTTGCGCAGCTCTCGTATGAGTCTTGCTACTCGAAGGATTACATGATCCTTCTGTCTAGTATCAGTAAGCTACATCTAGTTAAGGATATGGATTTTGTTTCAGATGATAGCATAAAGACAACCAAAACTAGGGAGTGTGCATTGGTCAGTTACCCGATGAGGTTTTGGCATGGTAGTTTTGTAGTATATGCGGTCTGTCAATAAGACAGACCAGCATGGGGTTCAGACTTTGGGGAGACAAAAATGGTTTGCGGAAGCTCGAAGTTCGGTTTAGTTTCCGGTTGTCCTGAGAATATTGTTTTTCATGCAGAATCATCAGTTACATCCCTTAGATTGTTGGTGTGGACACATGTGTTAGTAATGAGCGATTTCACGGATGAAATCTAATTTAAGTTGCGGAGAGTTGTAACATCCGGTTTAGAAAGTGCTCGGTTGTGGTATCGAAGGCCAAGGGTAGGGGCGATACGGTCTTTTATGGGTCTCGGGTTCTAACCGGAAGATTTTAAGGCTTGGGGTGTAGATAGGAGTGTAGACGTCTCACCACCTTTTTGTAGATATAAAGTTTGTCGGAAACGGACTTAGAATGAATAAGTTATAGTACTTTAAAGTTGTTGACATAATTGGTTCATGGATGGAAAAACTTGTATTCTAGCCCTTGCATGCAAGGTGGTAAAAGCATGAGTACGTCTAGCATAGAGATGGAAAGTGGACGCGAGAGGCTCGGGGCAGTACACCCAGCGTACTGTAATTACGCCCAACGTACTATAATTACCCCTAACGTAGTGCCCAATACCTTCAAACCCTAATTATGCACTATTTAAGAAACTTAAGACCCAAGGCTCTTCATCCTTTCAGCCTCCATTGTACCTTAAGCTCTTTTTCAAAACCCTAGCGCGTATTGGTGTGTTCTTGTGAGTTGGTAACCCTTTTGAGAGCATTTTGGTGTTGCTTTGGTGTTTTGGAAGAGGAAGAAGTTTGAAGAAGGAGCAAGGATTCAAAGGGAGCTTGTAGATCCGGGAGATTAACACCATTTCTGACTCATTTGAGGTATCAAGCTTCAAACTTGACCATGGCATGCTTAGTTAGAATGTTGGGGTGTTTTATGGGTTATTTTGACTCCATTGTTGGGGTTTCTTGTATCTTGTTAGTTCAGAGCAAAAAAGTTGTCCTTTTGAGTCCCTAAAAGCACTTAGGGCCATACAAATGCAACCTTTATGGTTCAAATGGACTCATGCAATTGATAAGATCTTTCATTAATCTCTTTTGATCTCTAGAGTCCTATTAAGTCATTATGTAAGTAAAGTTTCCAACTTTACATTTTAAGTCATCCATGGGAATCAGATATGGGGATTTAGACCGTTGACTTTAAGCATTAAGAGCTTAATAGAAGAAAGAGGATGGCAGAGGAGTACGTTAGGCATACAAGCTGGTACGCACAACGTACAGGTCACAAGCCCAGTACGCCCTGCGTACAGCTGAGTACGCACCGCGTACTCAGTTAGAGTGGGTTTCGCACTAATGGGCCTCGGTTTGGGCCATTCTTTGGACTTGACTACTTTGGCCTTAGTGGGCCATCTGGAATTGAAATTTTGGACCATAGAAGCATTATTGGGCCTTTGGCTAAGGCCCATGAGAATGGATTGTGCCTAATTGGAAATTAGGCCACTAATGGGCTTCTATGGATTTTATGGTTTAGGTCTTTGGTATTCTGGTTTTGGGCCTTAGTTATGGACCAAACTAGACTAGTGGTAAAATGGTCATTTTACCCTAAGGAGGATTATTGATTCGGACTAATGGTCATGTTGGGTAATGATAGCGTGGGGATCCGCTAGCTAGCAGCGAGAGGTTATTCGCAAGGTTCTACAGTCAGCTTGTGAGGTGAGCCTCCTCACTGTTTGAATGTGTCTAAGGCACCAATGCCAACCCATTTAGTTTATGCATGGTAGGAGAACCCAGGGGTTAGTCCTAGGCATTATGCATGAAAGACCAGGATGCAGCTCCTGGCACACTGTATGCTATTATGTATGAAAGACCAGGAGGTGACTCCTGGCACACTATAAGTTGATTAACTAAGTAGACTAGTATGTATGATATTTGTCTTTATGATGCTTGCATGAAAGACCATGAGGTGGCTCTTGGCACTTGTCTATAAGACCAATGGGGGTGGCCCCAAGCTTGGCTAGAAAGACAACGCGCGGCTTGTGGCATAATGAGAAGACTATGTTTGGCACATAGAACCTTACTTGTTTACGGATATGTTCAATATGTATGGCTCTCATTATGTATGGCATGTATGGTCTAGTTGATATGTACGGCATGTATGGCCCAGTCGATATGTATGACATGTATGGCCCAGTCAATATGTATGACATGTATGGAAAGGTTAATATGTATGGTATGTGGTATCTGGTGAACTCACTAAGCTTCGTACTTACAGTTTACAGTTTTGGTTTCAGGTATCTATGGTTTTCAAGAAAAAGGAGCTCGGGACGATCTTGGCCCATTCACCCATGTTTTTCCACATTATGTGATCTTTGGGATTAGACTATGATATTTGTTTTAATTGAATTGTTTTCAATGTCTGGAACAAAGTTATTAACGGTTTTCTTATATTAAAAATGAAATTTTTGGCATGAAATTTTGGGATGTTACAAACACTCAAGGTTATAAGTAATATTCCAATGGTTTTATGGATTCACTAATCTGATCATAGACTAAACACTCGGGAGAACGAATTGTTTCTTGATACTAAGGATTGTAGCAGTGGCTCAATATCCTTGATAAAATTATATTCTTTATGTTTCAGTCTCTTTCTGACATTTTGGGCATTTCTGCTTTCTTAGTCCTTTCTTGTATTAGAAACGAATAGATTATCATAATATGTCTCGAAATATGCATTCCTTTTGTCCTTGGCATTTGGTGTTGCAATTAGGTATAGCAACCTTAACTACTTTTGGCTTATGGACACTTGTCTTTTTTCTTCTTGACACTTCATTCATGATAGCAAATATAGAATAATTTGAAGCTTGGAGTTTCCATGCTTAGTTATGTTAGTTTAAAAGGTCCACAACATGTAATACAGGTCCACGATGGCTCTTTCTAAACTCTTCGTAACTTGATTATGTGCACAAGTTAGCTAGTTGGTAATGTCACCATAGTCAACTCCCAACATGATGGAAATTCCATGTTGCTTCAATCTTATAAATGCACAAGGTACACTTGACACTTGTTCCTCCCTACAACTAAATAAACAATAGTTGGATGAACCTCGAGAAGAGCTTTATCAAAAGTACAATCTTTCTTTTTCATTTATAAGAACTATTCTCAAGTTACGAAATTAAACAAGATTGATCAGTCCTTTTAGCTTATCCTTTTATGGATTTTATAGCATTACAAGTTTAGTGGATAAATTTTGAGTATATATATCATTAAATACAAAGTTTCATATTTGTTTTTTTTTATTAATTCTTAAAAAACAATCACCCAATTATAGAAACTATTTCAAATAAGGCAATGATCCATATTTCATTCCATGATGCAAAATGGATTAGACGGAATTCACACCAAGAAGTTGTTTACGTAGGCAAATATTCGCAGGTATCAATCTCTATGAAACTTCTATATTTTTTGAGTTTTATTTATTTATGTCAATAGCATGTTAATCTCTTCCGTGCTCGTCTGTCATTCATGACCGGATTAACTGAGGATCATTAATCCAAATGGTAAATCAACAATGCAAAAACATGTGTGGTGTCCGACTTAAATTAATTCATATTGACATGTTGGTAAAATTTCACTTTGAAGCTATTTTAGTTAAAATAGTTTAAAAAAAATACATATTCACTTATAATTGTGGTAAAAATATTTTTTTAATGCTTGGATTGATTTTTGTGGTGGAAAAGCCAATAAATTAATAAGTTAAAAGATATTTGGTTTAAAATCTTAACTTTAGAAGCTATTTTGGTTAAAAGCCAAAAAAAAGTTTTAAAAAGCCAAATTTTATGTTAGAACCCTTAAGTGGGTTAACCTCCAAGAAGATAGAGTAAGGAAGAACATACACGATTGGAACTATTTTATCTGCTTAACTTTACTAATAAACTGGATTACAATTCATAGAATGACTAACAAATAACTCCCAAGAATAACTAAGGACCCTGCATGTAGTTAAACTAAATGTGGCTTCTACTCAGGAGCACTAACTCCATTATTTGACAGATGAGGAAGAACATGTCTCCCTCTTAAAATGATGCAAATATGAAACCTCTTTCTGTTGCTTTATTCCAAAAAACGTGTCAGGTTGATCCTTCTTTGATGGACTGGAAGGTTGGCCCAGTTGTGGTCAATGGGTCTTCCATGGGCTTGTGGTATAGGGTCGTATCAATGCCCTCCCCTTGAGATGGGACCTTGTCCTCAAGGTCGGAGATGGTAACGCCAACAACAGAGGCCACAGTGGCCGACGGACAATGCCCGTGTAAGGTAACTTGTTGTTTGTTAAAGCAGAAGGATAAAGAGGGAACCGAAAAATCCGTTGTATTGGGGCCCTAAGAGCGGAGCCAAGTATATCCCAAAACCAGTTCACATCCGGTGAAGGCAAAAAGAAAAATTGGTACCGGAAATGAGGTCCGATCCACGGTCATAGGAACATGAGGGTAATACTAGTGACAATGTAGTGCTACACCATTTCTGACGAGAACAAGGACTGAGGGAGTTGGTTGGATCGTTAAGTTGAGCAAGGAGGAAACGTATGGTTGAATTGGGTTATGGGTACTGTCGGATTCGACTAAAATGCTAATCGGGCGGTCCTTATTAAGACCCGTGAGTTTCATAGAGGTGGCGGTAGTCATCCCGAAAAAAATTGCTGGTGAAATAGAAAGAAAATGTGGAACATCGGGATTCTTGGTGAGCAATGGTAACGCGTAATTTGTTGTAGGGTCTAGTGTGTTGCCCACAATGAATAAAAATGGGGGAGGGGGGATTACAACGGTACCCTGGTGTGTAGCGTTTTAGGCAACGAAAACAAAGACCGACATCGTGTCTTTGTTGCAGTTGATCCGGTGACACGCGAGCGGTGGGCAGTGGCACAGAAGAAGCCGTTGGTACGGAATAAGTGATAGAGGGAGAAGAAAGTACTAATGCGGAGGAGTTGATTGTGGGGGTCAACAAAAGAGTTGGTGGTTGTACATGGTTGAGAGCAACTGGAGAAGTGGAAATAGTGAGTTTTTCTTCCAAGAGCTTTGCTAGGCCTACTGCTAGAGTGAAGCAAGTAGGTTTAAGGATGGCTAACTCATTCTGGATAGTGGGTCGTAAAACAGAAAGAAAACAATTAAGCAATACGTCCGGTTGCAAACCAACGACCATATTGCTTAACCGTTCAAAATCTGCAACATACTCGGTGACTGTGGTGGTTTGTTGGAGTTTGAACAAGGCGGCTTGGTGGTTCTCAAAGAATAATGGACCAAAGCGTAGTTTGAGAGCACGAGCAAACTCAGGCCACGAAGTGAGAAGGTTGTTGTTGGCTAAGTATTTGTACCAACTTAGGGCCTCGTCGGTAAAGTAAATTTGAGCCAAAGAGAGACGTTGGGTGGGTTGGATAGAATAATAGTCAAAGTAATTGTTGGCTTGAAAGAGCCAATCAAGAGGATTAGAGCTGGCAAATGTAGGGAGATGGATTTTCGATGGCCAGGGGTTGTGATTGGACGACAGTGGCGGTGGCGGCGGAGGTGGTGGCTGGTTGGTGTGATGAGTGGTCACGATATTGATTAGATTTGCAACGTTGGTGGTGAGGGTGTCAAGCCGGATATTGGTGGTGGTGGCAAGATGGAGAAGTGCTTGAATGTGGTCCAGTGGATTCGTCGTAGGTTGGTTTTCTGGTTTAGAGGTATGTCGGTTGTAGTCTCTTTCAGCGGAGGCATGGTTAGGAGATTGGGAATGAAAGAACCAAATTGATAGAACCCTTAAGAAGGTTAACCTCAAAGAAGATAGAGTAAGGAAGAACACAGACGATTGGAACAATTTTCTCTGCGTAATTTTACTAACAAAATGGATTACAATTTATAGAATGACTAATAAATGATTCCCAACAATAACTAAGGACCATGCATACAGTTAAACTAGACGTAACTTCTGCTCAGGAGCACTAACTCCATTATTTGACAAATACCGAAGACCGGATCTCCCTCCTAAAATGATGCAAATGTGAAGACTCTTTCTGTTGCTTTATTCTAGAAAACGGGTTAGGTTGATCATTCTTTACTGGACTGGAAGGTTGGCGTAGTTATCGTCAATGGGTCTTCCATGGGCTTGTGGTCTAGGATCGTATCATTTTACATGTTTTTAAAATCGCTTTTTTGAAACTAATAGAACAACTATTTTGAAAATTGTTTTTAAGTTTGATAAACATTTTTTTTGATTTATTTGTTTTTTGAAAAACTAATTAATCAATAAATTGTTTTGAAAAACAATTTCAAATCACCCCCCACAAAATAATAATAATAATAATAATAATAATAATAATATTAAAAAAACTAAAAATAAGCGACCTATTTGTTGTTTTATTTTATTTTATTTTCATTCGTTTATTTGTAATTCCTCTTGATCTACCAAACAAACCTTTTGAATTATTGCATTCACACACAATATATATGTCTCATTTTTTTTTATTATTTTTTTTAATAAATAAGTCGGTATTTAGATTAACGATAATGATTAACAACAACAAAAAAAAAAAAAAAAAGACACCTTATTTAACACAAAACCATATAATTTAACAAAAAACGACATGAAATTTACTCAAAAATACTACACAAGAAACTCAAGGTAGCAACACCACATGAATGAATGATCTTCATTATGAACCACGAGATACTTCAAAAAATCTAGAATATTTAAACAAAACCTGCAACCTTTATTAATTATCAGAGATACCCTTGAAACCATTCTTCTTCGATTCGTCATTCACAATCTCATTCTCCATAGCCTTCCCGCAGAAACGAGCATTGACGTCTCCGCCGTTAAACCTAACGGCAGAAAATTCACTCTTCAAGTTATCCATGGCTTTCTTTAATCCCACATTTTCAGTTTGTATGATCTCCAGCTGTTTCTTGACGCCCAAAAAGGCCTCCGCCGCGTCACTGGTTGTCGGTCCCACCTTGCTTGAATCCTTGCAATCGGCACCCGATTTGTGCTCGATCCCGATCTTGTTTATGATCAAAACTGGAAGCTTCTGAAACGAAATCCCAGGCATTGAATTGTTGTTCTTCTTCATTAGCATCATCGCCGAGTCTTCTGCCTCCGGGAGCCAAACGCCCCAACGGAAATTCAACACAGCGTTTTTCCTCAGCGGAACGGTCGTTGTGGCGGTCATTTCGACGTCGGATAAGGCGCTCTTCACCAGACCGGCGGCTGGAGATTCCAACGGCGAATTGGAAAATTTCTTGCCGTTTTCGAACAGATCAACAATCACCGGTGCATCTTCCTCTGCAGCTCCGCTAACACCGTTAATTTGCTTCTTAAACACTGATGATTGAACTTTTTTGATAGTGAAGTCACCGAATTGAGGTTTGAAGTGAACAAAAAAACTAGGGTTTTGACTGCCTCCGATCAAGTTGAATTCAGCGCTCATGTTCAATGAGCTTGAAATCGGCGAACCGAAATGGCCGATTCCGGTTTTGAATACGAGACTAAACGGATTAATGGAATCATTTGGACGATAAGCGACCTTCAACGAGGGCCCTGATTCGAAGAAAGTGCTGAGATTCAAAGAGAGCTCTTTCGATTCACCGGCTACAATCCCTGATTGAAAGGGGAACCCAAGAATATTGAGAGGCACTTTTGCTCGAAACAGAGGCTTTTGTTCATCTCTAAATTTGATTGAAGCTTTCATGGCTACTCTGTGTGTGTGACGGTTACGGCGGCGGCGAGGGTTTAAAAAGGGGAAGAGCGGGTATTGAGGTGAGTTTCCCGGCGACAGTTTCGCTTAATATAAGGATGGGAAGCTGGATTTTTTTAATTTGTAGAAATTGTAATTTTGTCAACATTCTAAATTATTATTGTCAATAATACCCTTTTTTGGATAAAAAGATGAATAATTTTTGAGGGTATATATGTAAATGAAGTTAAGGTGGCAATCAAAGAAAATTTAAATTTTCGAATTTTTTAGAGCTATGATAGTTCAAAATTTTTAAATTGGGCAATGTTTTGTTTGGTTTTAATTTATTTAGTATTTACGAAATAAATAAAAGTCAAAGTTTACGATGAGTATTAATTCAAATTTGAATTTAAATTTTCTTTTGAGGAATTTCATAATCAAAATATCTATCATAAAGATATGATGTACAATTCCATGAGTTTTGTACACAACTATTGTAATATCTGAAATTTATTCCATGAGTTTTGTACACAACTATTGTAATATCTGAAATTTATTCCATGAGTTTTGTACACAACTATTGTAATATCTGAAATTTATTCCATGAGTTTTGTAAGCAACCATTGTAATATTTGAATTTTTTTTTTACAATTTCTTATCTTTTTTAGTTTTTTATTTATTTATTATTTCTTATGTTTTTTTGTTCTTCTTTTTTTTAACGGTTGGATAGTTGTTAAAGTTAAATTCACAAAGTTAGTTAAAACGATAATGTCCGGGCTCGAACATATGATCTTAAATCCAAGAGGTTTCCATCTCTACCAAGTGAGTTTGAACCTGAATCCTCCAACCTAAGACTATAAATCCTTAGTATAAAGCATTTGGTTACTATCAAAATTGTTTTTAGTTACTATCACTATTTTCGGCCACCACTTAGGCTACCAAGTATGGTGGTTGTTTCACGCGTCTTGAGCTGAGGTGGCAACCCCTCCCACACGTGAACACCGCCCCCAAAGCCAATGGGGTGCTGGTGACGTGGTTCCAAAGATGCGAAAAGATGCCTAATCATATTTCATCAATTTTTTAACGGTCGGAAATTACAACTAACGGCTATATAGCCGTTTCTAACATAAAATAAAAAATTACTTTTTACCATTTAAACATAAATATTTACACCTATAAATTATCCACTATTCTACTCACAATTTACACTTCAAAAAACACTATTTATATTTTATTACCTTCTACAAAAAAAAACCTCATCTCTCATATTTTTTTCTCTTAACATGGATTCAAATCCAAACAACACTCCAAACACTCCAAATGCAAATGTTAGTTACATGCAATTGCTAACCTCCCCAATCCAACAACAAACTTTATTCACCACTTCATGCCTATAAACCTTCTACCAACAACAACCACAACAATTTAATCAACCCTAATTTCAAGCCTTTCAACAACAACCTTCTCAACAATTTCAACCATCTCAATCTCAACCTATAAATCTGACAATGACGACGACGACGAACGGGTTCAAGAAACACAACAACCAACTCGTCGAAGGCAAAAAAACCAAAGATCAAAGAAAAAAAAAGACTACCGCATGGAACGAAGACGAGGAGGAAACTTTAGTAAAAGCTTTGCATTTTCATATCTCAAGACGGGGATGTCGCCAACGCACAATCGGGTCAAAGTTTTTGGTGTCGTATTTTAGATCATTTCCACACGTTATTAGGAAAGAAAACGGAGCGGACGTACGACTCGATCAACGCAAAATGGCGTGACTTACGAGCGGCTTACACCAAATTCAATGGCATATTTGACAAGCTTAAAAATATGCATAGAAGTGGTAGCAACGACTTCAACATTTTAGCGACCGCATCCTACGAATACAAAGTTACCACAAACGGTGAACCGTTCGGCCACCAAAAAGCGTGGGAAGTTTGTCGTAACGGTCCAAAATGGGTTCTATATTCGGAAATGGCGCATTCGGGATCTACAACCGGTTCCAACAAAAGGGCAAGAACGTCCGAGTCGGACGTGGATTTTGGACTCGACCTCAACGACGACTTCGACGCCACCAAGGGGGAGGTCCCACCGAACGTCCAACTTCGTCGACCACCGGGACGGGACAAAGCAAGAAAATGAGCATCTTCAAGCGGAAAAGCATTGGCAACTAGCGATAGCGAGCTTGTGACATCCATAGATAAAGCTCTAGTTTTTCTAGAAAAAAAATACGAATCGTCGGAAGCCGCTAACCGCCAAAAAATAGCTCTTACCGATCTTCAAATCATAAACACGAAGCCCCAACCGGATCTCGACCCGGAAAATCTTGCGACATCTCTTAAAATTCAACGACAAGTCCAGGAGAAATATGGTCTTTAGGTTCTAATCTTAATGGTTTTAAGAAATTAAGGATTTTATTTATGGTTTTAAGTAATTTAGGATTCTAATTTTTTTATGTTTTTTTTTAAGAATTTTAGAATTTTAATTTGTGTTTTTTATACTAATGTAATGTGTTTTTAATTTTAATGTAATGTGTGTTTTTGTTTTTTAATTTGTGTTTTTATATTAATTAAGGTTTTATTTTAAATTATGGTTTGTAATTTGTTTTTTATTTAATATAATGTTAAAAAATAAAAAATAAATAAAAATAAATTGTGTAGTGGTAACCATTTTCAAGGTTTAGTGGGTTGAGTGTGAAGCTGATGTGACGTATAGGTGGCAGCACTTTTTCGTTGGGGAGGGTGTGACCACTCCCCATAGCCTTATTTCAAATGACAAAACTCAAATAAATAAAAACGAAATTATGATAACTTAATTAAAGATTTGTCAATAGCATGGTGGTCTTGTTGTTAGTAGTTTATTTGCCTTCCTCAATCGGTCATTTTTCAATTCAGTTTAGCGGTTTCATATCGATATAAATGTCTTTTGGGTGATGGTGGTGAAGGCTACTGATGATGTTAGTGGGTTTATTGACTGTCTTCTAAGTGGTAATCGTTTTATTGACATTGTAATTGGTTGGATGTGGTTCGAAGTTCAAACTATAATCAGCTTACGTCAGGGCCGGCTCTACATTATGAAAAATTAAGCAAGGGCTCCCAATTCTAAAGTTTATTATGTTATATATATATATATATATATACAAGTTGAAGCTTGACTTTGTGGTAAAAGCATTGGTTTATAAAACTAAAGATCTCAAGTTCAAAACCTTTTGATTACATAAAAGGCTCTAATTTGTTGGTTTGCTTAGAGCCTTTAAATTAGTTGGGCCGCCTCTAGCTTAGGTGACAATAATGTGAATCTTTATGCTTGGTGTAAGAAGATAATGGCTCTTTTACTTCTTCATGGAAGAGGTTTGGTTTGAAGTTACCCTTTTAGAGGTTCAATTTAATAGAGTATATGTTGTTGAATTGGACAATAGATTTCTATGCAGATGGAATTAGTTATTGGGCCATATCAGTTTGGTGACTTCTCTTTCGTAAGACTTTAGGGGGAAGTCTACAATGGGCTCATGCCCATATTTCCTATAATTTCATTATCATCTCTCATCAATCGTTGGATGTCCAACGGTCTTTGTTGGGGTAAAATGATATTACAGTTAGTAGTTAGAATGATTCCTACGGTTTAACCTAGATAACTGAGTATTGGATCTTTTTTCTATTATTTGCTTGGTGTTGACTAGGGAAGTGGAATCGGGTAGTGTAACATCCTCATTTTGGGCTTAGAATTTTCAATCATTTTTGTTTTAAAAAAAATTGGAAAACTAAAACTAAAATAAATAATGATGTTGATAAATAAAATTGAAATTTATAGGAAGTTATGATGAAATTTTAAATTAGAGATACGTGGACTAAGAAAGTAAATTTGGAGAAAGTTATATCTGACTCATCTACTTCTACTAATAAATGAAATTTTAAAAGATACGTGTCATTTGTTTAGAATGTATCTTTGATATGTGATATTTTTCTATGATTTTTATTATTTCTTTTTTTATGGTAACAAATCAAATTCAAAATTTAAAAATACAAAATCATATCCTAATAACATTATTATGTCTATTTTGCTTAACAAATTAATTCATAATTACTTGCAATCGATATATCTTTGTGTTTTTTTTGTTTATATATATATATATATATATATATATATATATATATATATATATAGAGCAATCGTGGTTTCCACGACCTATAATCTAGTGAGTTTATTAAAGGAAACAAAATAAAATAAAATAAGAAAAAAAGAAAAGAAATAGAATAATCTTCATTTGATTTCTCCATACTCCTCCGGATTTGGGAGGAAATATTCTAACGAATATAAGCATAAATCATTTCTTTCCTATCTTTTTTTTTTTCTAATAGATAAACATTTTTTTCCGTTTTTTTTTTCTAATAAATAAACTCCGAAGCAATGATTTTTTCCAATCCTTACACTTCATTTTCATTTCTCTACTTAAAAGAAACTTTAGAGAAATGCATTAGGTTTAACCTTGCGATTGATTTTAAAGGTGTTATTTTGCCGGTTTCGATAAATTGATTCAATATAATTTTTTTTTATATCTTAAAACGAACTATAATAAAACTAATAAGGTTCGATTTGATCAGCTTGGTTTATTCAGTTCATATTACTAGTTAAACCAAATACAATTTTGCATGTACATATATTTGTTGAACTTATATATATATATATATATATATATATATATATATATATATATATATATATATATATATATATATAATATCTTATTCATTTTTTTTGTTTTAACCAAAAAAATTGAAAATTTAATCAAAACCAAACTGCATAAGGTATCATTGTTTGGTTAACTAAACCGAATTAACCAAAAATAGAATAGCCCGAAAACAAATAAAACAAACATCATTTGGTTTGTTTCATTTATTTGGTTTTAGTTTTTTATCAAATCCTAATTGACTTGGTTATCTAACTTAAGACCTTTCATGTAAGAGATTTTACAGATAAGGGTTATTTGATAAATATTTGAGGTTGGTAGTAAG